GAGGGCATTGATGCCCTTGAGAGAGTCACTGGTGCAAAGACAGACAGGCAAAGACATGAGATTTGATGAGGGAAAGGAAGAAGAAAAGATGAAATTGGAGAACATATCAGGGTTGAAGGAAGGTTTTTATTTGTTTGTTTTGTTTGTTTTTAGGATAGAGGAGACCAAGGATGTTAGCAGACAGAGGGAAAAGCTGAAGATGAAAAAGTCTGTGAGAGTGAAGATCTAAAAGGTAGTACGAGAGTGGGGATCATGAATTCTGTGAAAAGAGGAGGAACAATCCATCCTTTAGAAGATAAGAAAAAGTAAAGTCTAAAAATCAGCACAGGGACTGCGAGTACCATCTTGTATATGAAAGAGCATGGTTTACACTGGTAGAAAATGCTGTTGGAAGCTTCAGAAGTCCAAGGATGTTTAGGACATTTAGGACAAGGATGTTTAAGAATACACATCTAGAAAGGAAAACATCAAAATGGACACTGACACAATCTGAAGGAAAGGAAAGAATTTATTTGGGGGACCCAAAGGTCATTACACACAGGATGTCCACTAAGGGAAGGGTATTTTCACTCAGATTCTTGCATGGAAATAATCAGCCATTGCTGGTGTTATTTCTGACTCCAGGTAGTATGTCTGTTGGTGTTTGTGAATATTGTTGAGTCTGGACAGATTACATCAGTTCCTCTTAGTGTGCATCTTCCTCCAAGCATGTGTGGACCTGTGCCATGCAGGTTATTTCTCTCAGATTCCAAATAATAGCCTTTTCTCTCACCTTGAATCCCTCCTGCCCCTACCCTGAATTCTGAAACCTGTAGTGAACTGAGGGAGAAGAAAGGACAGAAATAAAGGAAGCGCTTACGAAGCTTAAACTTTTGCTTTTTGAAATAACAAATGAAAAGAAGGTCAGTCAACTATTGTAAGGTTGCTTTCCTTCTATTATTAACCTTTAATTTCCTTAATCACCCCTAAAAGAAAGGGTTACTCCTTCCATAGTTTTCCAAAGTTATCATGTCTGCAAATATCTAGCCTATAAAATTAGCTTTGGCCCCACCTGCTTCTCATGCAGATTAACCCCACAGACTGCCTGCACATCCTACTCAGACAGTGCGCAGCCTCATCCGCTGCAGCTGACACTTTCTGTGTGCCCCCCACCCCCACCTCCACTTCAGATTCCCAAGAGAACCAATCAAAGCGAGAGAATGTCAGAGCCAGCAACCTCTGGTCTTTAGGGCCTCTGTTCAGCTCAGCAGTATCCATGGGGGATGTCTAATGTGGTCTAAGGGATAGGCAAAGAAGATTAAAAAAAAGCAATTGAGAAACACAGAGAAACAGAATAAGGGGAGTGATAGAAATATAAAGAACAAAGAAAGAAATGTTACCATTCTGATGGAGGGGGACCAACTATGATGGTTAAACAGAGCTTCTCAGTAATCCCTGGACTATAATTATCCCTCAGGCGTTCAGTTGTACAGGAGCTTTGGACCAGCACTAGAGAACCAGGATTTTAGTATCAGCACAGCCTCTGGTGAGCTGGGTGACCCTGGGCAGAGCACTAGGTCAGTTCCTCATCTTAAATTTGAATCACCTTGAAAATTCTTGCGTTTTAATAGTCCCTCATTCTTTTCTGAGCCTGGGTCTCACTGAGAACCTGTTTTGGAAATGTTCCCTGATATGATGTGAGAACCTGTTTATTTTGTTGTATTAGTGCAAAGAATCTGGAAGTGTGAGCGGGGAGACCATCAAAGTGCATCATGTGCATAACAGGACCCTCCTAAATCGAAAGGTTAGCTAATTGGTAAAAATAAGGTTTCTGGCAAGCTGTGAAAACCCTGTATCTTAAGGCCACCAAGTGATATGCCCAGCAAGCATCTGTGTCCAGTTCCTCTGCCTCAACGGTGCTGTGAGGCTTGGTTTCCAGGGTCTTGCCAAGCATGCCGTGAGCCTGGTTCTTGGCACCAGCTGGATGCATCATCTCTCCTTCCACGGTCTTTAATGAAGTGTGCAGCTCTTGTCCTCATTAGGCCCCAGCATCGTCAATAAAAGAGTCAATAAACCCGGTTGATGGGGTTGGGACCGAGGGGCTGAGATGCAGCAGCCGCACATTCACAGGGCAGACGTCAGCTCTGCCGCATGTCGTGACCCAGCATCCAGGGATCAATAACCAACTCGGAATAAAGCCCGAGAGCTGCCCTCTGCAGTCTCCTCTCCAGACCCATTTCACCTGGGGCTGAGCAGTGCCAGCCAGCTCCTGCTTCGCTTGCAGTTGTTCCCGCCCCATGCCATTCTGGGTGCCAGATGCTTTTGTTTCTTCCTGACTGAACCCTCTGAACACCCCATGGATGCATATTTAGTGAGTGCCCACCTGGCATGAGAACATGTAGATGGCATCTCCAAGCAGCCGAGAGGCAAGCATGGGCCCTGTTTTCTGTGTCTTCTGTCTGCTGACAGTGTGGGAGGGGCCCCTGTGGACCAGGTGGTAGTTGTGCTGTGGAGTCCATTTCAGCTGCTCTGCATCTCTTTAGATACCCTTATCTTATCTAATTACAGGGAATTTCAGATGAATTTCATGGCCTTTGCTCCAAAGAACCTCTTATCTATGAGGGTCTTGTATTTTAACCTTGTCATTCTTTTGTTGTTAGCCTTTAAAGGAGAGATAGCTAAGAAAGGGATGCTAGGATCTTGCTGGAATTGGGTTTGGGGGGAGGGGAAGAAGAGGGAGGCAGACAGACCTGGGACTTGTGTATTCTGCTCCATTCCCCTGCTTGTGTGTGGAGACAGCTGGCTGCTTACTTCCATGACAGCCACATGGTACCCAGCCACACAAACAGGACCCGGGCAGCGACTCGTCTGCTGCCAACCTCTCCAGATCCCTTTGATATTTCCGACAGAGCAGTAAAAGACTCTTGACTATCACATTTTGCCTTGCCTCCCTCCACCTCCTCTAAGACTCCTCAGTGTGGTTTCCATGACTACCCCCAATCAGATTTGGCTTCCTGCAAAATTGGATTTCAAAGAAGGACAAGGCTTCAAAGGAATTTGTCCATTTAACAGAATGTCATTAGGAGTGAGGCTGACTGTTGAACCAGGGTCCTCAGATGATTAAGGAGGGGCTGCGCTCATGTGTGGAGGCAGGTTTCTGTCTGCAGTGAGGAAACTTGATGCAACATGACAATGGCGTATTGGAATCTGCCACTCACCGCACACTACCCAACTGTGCACCTCCCTCACTCCATCCCTCTACACCCAGAATGGATGTAGAATATCTTTGCCTTGAGTTTCTGCTGCTTCCCTTGGTATAAGTAAGCTATGACAGGCAGTGAGGCCTGATAGGATGTGCAATTACCAGGCTTTATTGCTTTTTATCAAACAACCCATTAACTTGGAGCCTATTTCAGCATTTGACAAATACCCTTGAAGAAGGGAGGGAGGTTGTCAAACTTCCTCCCGCTGTTGAGAGGAAAGCAAGGCAAAGTGCTGGGGTTACATATAGGAGGGACTGTGCGCCCCTTGCTGTTTTTTTAGAACAGTTATAGATTTACGAAAAATTGCAACTGTAGTACACAGAGCCCCCTTGCCTTTTAACACGTGTCATAAGTACTCAAAAATGATTCCAGAGCAGCTACAATTTTATAGAAGGAGCAGTGGGTGTGGGAAAAATGCCCCAGTGGGGAACTGGTCTTACTCTGGAGCCTGAAGGAGGCAGCCTGCCCATGTTAACTTTCCTAGGGCTATGACGCCTTGCAACAGGGGCCAGATTCCCCAGAGACTCTAGCCAGCCTCTGTTCCCTACACTTCCACCACAATTACTGCAACTGGTAGGTGAGTCATGTGGGTCAAGGCATCATTCCTCTTCAGGTTGCGGCACTTAGATGTATAGATGGCTCAAAGTCGCTGGACCCCTTAAAGGATCAAGCCCCCAAACCTGAAACTGTATCTCTGGAGGGGAAGCTATGCCTGGAGGCAGGAACTGATTGTAGGAGTCCTCCGAGCAGTTTCTCTGTACCCCCATCCCCATATCCACGGTTCTGTCATTATTTCCCCTGAGGCTACTGTAAAAGCCACTTCACCCATCTTCTCTGTTTCCTTTCTCTTACTACTCCCAATCCTTTCCACATATTCTAGTGTACATAGAATCTGATAATAGAAACTATTCTTTACAAAGAAGGAAACTGATAGAGGTGAAGTGAGATGTGCAGGGGCTCAGGTTAGCTCACTCCCCATCTCAAAATTTGTCTGTGGCTCCCAGTGTCCACTCAAATGAGTTTCAGAATCCTCACTTTCAAGTTCCTTCACAATAGAACTTCAGTTTTTCTTGACAACTGTAATCCCTCTACACCATCCAGAAGCTGTCTTTAAGCAGAAGGCTTTTCCATCTTTGTTTACTCTGGTCCTTCCACCTGCCCCCTTGCCCCTTCAAAGTGTGGTGTCTTCAAAAGCCATCTCAAATGACACATGCACCACTAAACCCCACACATATTTCCCTCCTTTTCTTATATTCATCTCCCTCCTTGTATCACCCATGGCATTTTATACTTTTTTCATGATACTTGCCCTATACCTAAAAAAAAAAAAAAAACACTCCAAGATAACTGTGGATTCACAGAAGTTGTGATAAATAATACAGAGTGGTCCTGTTTACCCACAGGGCCATATCACACCTAGGACACCTGACACCTACATGCTCTGAAAGAGAAGGAAGCCCACTCCTGTTATCCTGTCCTTCACTTTCCTCCGTTTTAAACTCTTACAGGGAAAGCACTGGATGCCCCCTCCCTTAGCTTTCTCTCTGGGTTACCGCTTCTTTTTCCTCTCATCCTTTCAGCCTTAGGGAGGAAGGGATACTTTGCCTCCCTGTTTTCATTGCAGCGGGACTGCTTTGATTCTCCGCAAAGTTGGTTACTTGAGATTATTTATTGGGACTTCTGATCATTCCCTCGAACAGTCCTGGTTTGCCTGACCAACGGTTCTGCCCTGGTTTTCCGGGCTTGGACGCACGAACTGGGTTCCCGCCCGCCTGTCCGGCCCTCTCCCGCCGCCCGCCACATGCAGGCCGCCGCCGCCCTCCCCGAGGAGATCCTTTGGCTCCTGGAAGGTAACGCCCCGCTGGCCCGGGCGCCGCCGAGCCCGCCGGGAGTCGCACGTGCCGAGCCGGCAGCAGCCGAGACGCCAGCGGCTCCCAAGGCCGGCCTTCCCCGTCGGCTCCCTCCCGCCTTCTAGAACCTCGAGGCTGCTGCCGGAGTCCTGACTCTGCAGAGCCAGCTGTTCACCCCTCGCTCAGGGGTCGCTCTCACTCCTAGTAACACATTTTCTTTTTCCTTAAGGCGTCTCCACCTTCCCACTTAGCCCCCCGGCTTCTCAGCAAGTTCTGGCCGGGTTCAAGTTCCCCGGGCCGCCGTGGCTGGCCTTCACCCTGTCCCTTTCTCTTCAGGACGCCCTGCGTCTGTGGGTTACGCGCCGGCCCCTCTCCAGCCCTGACTCTGCCCCTTCACAGGGGACCCTGCCCTTCCCGCTTAGAGCTCCCCACGGTCTCACAGGGCTGCTAGGGCTCATGGGCTCCTGTCGGCCAAGGCCTGGACACCCAGACCTCAGGCCCCCCTTCGCCCGCCTGCAGACTCGCTCTTGCACCTCCCTCTTGCCCTGGGGGGTCGGATCCCAGTGTTACATCTCTTCCCTTTCTAGAAGTGCCCCATTTTGGTGTGTTCACCCTCAAACCGTAGAGGCCATCATCGGTCCTCTCGGTCCTTGTAAGAGTTAAGGCCATACTCACTAACACTCAACACGTCTCGCTGTAACACTCCAGACACACTTTTTGCTCACGGGCAAGATCTGCTTGCCTCCCACTTTTCCTGGTGAAAAAGTATTAATAATTTGCTTTTCCTGTAACTGACCTTCCTGGAAGGATGGGGACCTGGAATCTGTGTTTGCATAAGGGTCCCAGGAGGAAACTGCTCAGAATTAAGCCTTTTGGCATCGATGTGACATTTTTGACACATACTTAACAGATGGCCTGTTTTGGGCAGGTCATACTTTTGGCAAGCAGTATTTTTTTTTTCCAGTTTCTCTCAATTTAATTGGTTTTATATCTCCATTACCATGTTATCTTGGTATAAATGCCTCCTAATCAAATATTTGGCAAGTCTTTTCAGTCTGTTTGTAGCGCTGTTTCCATTCTGGGTTGCTTCCATAAAAGCTGTCAATTACGTATTTCTTATGAGGTTAAGTTTCCAAAATTTATTTTGCTTGCGACCTGAGTGAATCTAAATGTTCAGAATAGAAAAGTATTTGTGGGGTAAAAGAGCATCATCTGGATGTCTAGAAGGAATCCAGCCTTTCCGTCTGCTGTTGGCTCAGTAATTCCAAATGTAAAGAGAGTCTGTACTGTGTCTGGTTTCCAGGAGAGAAGGAGCTGTGGCAAAAAGTTTCATTCTGCCTTGCAGTTAAAGATATAAACTGATTCTTTTTATTGATATCTGTCATTTGTTGAGAAGAAACCTGTTTTACAAACTAGTTAAACTATACTTACATTTTGTTTACAGCCTTGATAGAAAATTCCTTTTTATTTTCAGAGGCTTACAATGACATCCACTTCTTCAGCATTTTTGATGTGCAGTTCTTTATTGTTCAAAACTGACACTTTGGTAAACAACTCATTTCTGCACCTGCCACCTTCCTTTAGTTTAGATTATTTTCTTGTTAGCTGACTGTTTTTAATTGAAGTCTTCAGATCTCCTCCTAAAGCAGAACCTTTGTTTGCTGACAAGTAGAGCAGAGTATGAATGGAGATTAATTGCATGTCACATACTTCTGTATCAAACTTGCTGTGTCTTAACAATCTCTGTTGGTGCTCGGGTCTTTGGAATATATAGAACAGTCCAAGATTAAATTCTAAGGAGCTGTGTTGGTTAATGTATTACTTTAAGCCCCTCCCCCCCTTTTTCTTAAGTGTATAATTAGAGTCTGAATCTGAAGTAGAGAGAAAAATGTGAAAGTGGAATTCAACCAATAATTCTATTGAAAAATGTTTGAAGAATATACTTTTGAAAGGTTTGTGTAATCATAGCAACATATTGGTTGTAGGTTTTGTTTTTTATGGAACACACTCTCTGTTGTAGACCAACAGAATTATTCACTGTACTACAAATAGTTTGTAAATATTAGAAACCCATAATGGCTGTCAATTTATCATCTGTTGCTGTTTGTCTTCCCCTACCCACCCCCACACACACTTTTTAAGGTTAACTGCTGACAATTAGAAAGTATGTAGGTCCTGATCTCTATATTGTCACTCAGTGGAGGGTGTCATAGGGTGAGAGTGCTGCCACTTTAGTGCTGCCGCAGGCTGTGGGGGTGGAGTTTCCACAATGAATTACTACTTTCATAAACCAAGGCATAAGCATTTGCACAGTGATTTAATGCTGGCCATCACAGCCATAACTTTAGCATTTATTTATTTATAACTACAAGAGCATAAATGACAGGGGCGTTTTTTGACATAATGTGTGTGCTTTGAAAAATAAGATATGCAAAGCATTATGAAAGGTTTATGCCAGATTTTGCATAATGAAGAAGGGAACAGAAATGCTGAAGGTCTAAAATTAATTTTGTTTAAGGATAAAATTTTAAACATTTGACCAAGAAACGCCACTCCTAGGAATCTGTGTTACTTAAAGTAAAGAACATGAAGTATATATTTTTGTTTGTTTTAGTCGCTAAGTTGTGTTCAACTCTATGGACTGTATAAGCCCATCAGGCTCCTCTATCCATGGAATTCTCCAGGCAAGAATACTGGAGTGGGTTGCCATTTCCTTCTCCAGGGGATCTTCCTGACTCAGGGATCAAACCTGCTTCTCCTGCATTGGCAGGTGGATTCTTTACCACTGAATCATCTGGGAAGCCCAAAGTATCTGTACCAGGATGCATAGTAAGTGCCCATGGCACTTACTCCCAACTCATGGGAGAAGTCGGGCGATGGTATCTTATGGAATCATCCATCTTATGGAATATTTTGTAACCCTTAAAAAGGGTGAGGTGGATCTTTATATATTGGCTTGGGAGGTGTTGATAATGTATTTTTGAGACTAAAAAGCAAGATGTACAACAATGTAAATAACATATCATTTTTGTTTGAAAACAACCCCCCCCCCATTAACCCATATTTGATATATATTTGTGTAAGCCTAAGAAGGAGTAAGAAAGAATATACACCAAGCTCCTAAATTGGTTCTCTAGGGAAGGGAAAGAGAAGATTGGGGAGAGAGAGGTTATTACTTTTATTTCATACATCTTCATGTTGTTTGAACCGTGACAATGACCAGGTATTACTTTTGTAATCAGGATAAAACCACCAGTAAGGCTATTTAAAAGGAAAAGGAACAAAGGATGAATAGACAGTTGGAGAGGTTCCAAAGAACCATTAATCAGTATTGTGCTTGTGCTTTTTTCTTTTTAGTACTAGAGATGTGTGGAAGGTGGGGATTTTTTTTTTCCTTTTTTTTCTCAGTGCTTTCTTGGATTTTGGGCAACTATCAAAGCATATCAAAGCAGTGAGAGATTTCTAGAGTAACTCAGGAATCATCTTCCTCAGATTCTGTCAGGTTTTCATAGAGAAATGGTAACTAGTCCATTTCAGCAAATAAGTACCTTATAGATAAGTAAAGTGAAGGACATTTACTGCCTTGTTGAAAGAGGAAGACATATTCAGGTCTATTTTCAAATAATCAGGCTTCAGGAGTAGAAGTTATCATTTTGTTTTTGTGTTGTGATAACCACACTGAAGACAAAAACAATGGCGGCGTGCTGACAGTTTGCATGGTCTTTGTTTCACAGATACAAACATAATCAGTTTCTTCCTTGTCTTTCTAATATCACTTTTGAAGTCAGCAGTACAAGAGGCAGGTGTAAAGGAAATAGAATAAATATTTCTTTAGTTCATAATTTGTCCTGTGTGATGAAATGGAGCTTACTGACTTTAATAGGTAATAAGTATCTACAAGGTACCTAAATCCTGCTCAAACATGGATTAGAGCCAAAATAACATCCACAATTCAGCTGCATTTAGTAGCAATTGCTCCATTAATGCTGATTCTGATATGCCTATAGTTTACTTGTTTTAAACTTCCTTGGAAAGAAGTCATTAATCATTTCATTCCAGATTGTTCTCCAGATTTGTATTGGTCGATGTAGCCAACCATAAAATCTTTTTCAATATAGTAAAATTCCAACTCTGTGGAACTCGCAGGAGTGAGTTGTGCTGGATAGCTGAAGATGTTCTCTTTAAGCACTATTTTTATTATAAACATTTGTGATCAAATTTTTTCTCAGATTCTATAGAAACTTTTCACACTTCCTCAACCAAACAGTCTGCATGCAAGAGGACCTCCTCTGAACACTTTAACTCCAAGTTATAGTGAATATAAATTATCATACTTTATAGAGATATATTAAGTTATTTAGGGATGTTTTTGCCATAGTTGCCACTGGACTGCCTTGTGAATGTCTGTGTCCATTTTATATTTTAATTTTTGTCATTGTTTCCTACAGTTAGACCAGGCCTATCACTTTGTACTGTTCTCAGTGTATCTGTATCCCCAATGCTCTAGAAACATTAGATAATTAAGTTCATTGGAATTAAGATATGTGTAAAAGAAAATACGAAGTTCTGTCTTGATGAACATGGTACCCAAACTTTAGGTCTGTACTTGGCGACTTATGCACTGGCTGCTAACAGTCTTTTTTGCTTAATTTTTTTATACTGGGTTGTCTTCTGGATAAATGGCAGTACTGTTTGGCTAAATTCTGAAATGTATGTGATTATACTTCTATTTCTTTCTTTTTTTTTAAAACTAATTTTTGTTTTTGGCTGTGTGGGCCCTTCATTTGTGATGCTCAGGCTCTCTAACTTCGGGGCACAGGTTTAGTTGTCCTGCTGCAAGTGGGATCTTAGTTCCCCAGCCACAGATTGAACCCACATCCCCTGTATTGGAAGGCAGATTCTTAACCACTGAACCACCAGAGAAGTCCCTTATTTCTTTTTTATGCTAAATTTTTTGGTTATAAAAATAGTATTGCTCATGTAGAAGATTTAGAAACAGT